CAGATGAAAACAGTAACAACAACAGTGGTCATGATTTCAGATTTTTTGCATTTTACGTTACAGTGGTATGCATGCTAAACTGATTTAAAGTGCACAGGATCTGTCAGGTTACAGGCTAAAGCAGATAAATGTTTGATTTTCTTTTTTCACAGGTGAGGCAGTGGTCACTGCTTTAATGGTAGCTAACAAGATCATCGAGAGATCCCACAGTGTCCAGAGCCTGGAGTTATGGAATTATCTTCCTTATAGATGCCTCCTAAGATGACCGTCACCTTTCTCAGAGTTGATCTGTTATGTAGTGATGGTTAAGGGTGACTGGACTGAGACTGAAGAAAACACAGTGCACAGTGATAGTGAACTTTTCTGGAAATGTGGTTTGTATTTTAAAGATTAGGACATGACGTTCTATGAGATATTTGATGTGAGCATTGCATATAATTAAAGTCCTAATCCTTAAAATACAAACCACATTTCCAGAAAAGTTGTGATATTTTGTAAAATGTGATAAAATCAAGAATCTGTGATTTGTTAATTCACTTGAATCTGTATTAACTGACTTTTGCTGCCAGACATCTTACCGTGTAGCTGCTACACATTTTGTGAAAGTAGCTACAAAGTAACTAACTACTAATTTTTCAGTAGCTGTCCCAACCCTGCTTGCTTGTACAGCAGCTTTTTTTCGTTTCACTTGTGAGATGATTTGTTATTTGGATGGCCCACTGTAGACGATTTTTAGATACTCATTTTTAACGAACTTTAAATTAATTCTATTTTTAACTAACATTCAACTAAATATCTATTAAATGCAACTGAACTTGAAGTTGTGTGTGAAAGATTCTATTAAACCATCCCTAACCATAGACCTAACCCTAACCCCAAGCAAAAACCTACTCCTAAACCTGACCTTAACCGTAATATTGTTGATAATCACCTGAGTATCTCCATAAAGTCTGGTAATAATATAAGTATCTGTAGATCACCTACAGGGACTGTCCAAATAAAGTGTGACTTTTTTATTGATTCTGTAGAAATTCTGCTATTTTTGCCCGTTGCTTGTCTTGATGACTTAATGTGGGCTAAACTGTTCCGATAAGAAGCTGAAGATAAGATTACTAAATTTAGATCAGATTTACTTCTGTAATACAAATTTGTGAAAAAAAATTATCTTAACCTGTCAGATCTTCAGTTAAGACAAAAAGATAAGAATTTTCTGTAACATGGCTGAATCCTCACATCTGATGGTGGTTCCACATAAGAAGTTAAGTTCTTTGAGTTCTTTTAGTCTGTTAGGTCTGCGATTGTGGAATGAGCTTCATCACAGAGATTCTGAATCTTTACATTTTTTTTGGAAAAGACTCATCGAGATTAATGTGTTATTTAAGTACTTGGTTTTTGCTCTTGTGGTATTTCACTTATTATTATTATTATTATTATTATTATTATTAATCATAATAATAATTATTATATAATATATATTTATTGTTCATTTATCCATGTTTTCTTATTTTATATAGGTAATTTATCTTCTGAAAAGCACCTTGTAATGAGTGTTATGATAGTGTGCTATATAAAAAAATATTTTGAATACAATTATTATTGTATTCTGTGTTGAATCCTATGGTAGGATTTTGCCAAATGTTTGAGTGTTTTCATGATGTCAGTTTCAGTTTTTGATTTTACATATTTTCACTGGACTTTTTGAAATGACAATATTAATAAAGCTTTACAGCTCTGCTAATGAACGGTAGGTGGGATATTGAGATGTTACGCTATTCTGGTTGTTCTATTTCTGACCAACCAGGAGTTTTTCTGTTGTCTGTATCACATCTAGCTTGGAACACTAAACTTGAATGTTCGGTGTATCATCATTTTCTAGTAGAATTACTGATTGTAGAGTGAATTTAGCCACTAATTCTACTACAGAACCATGTATGCTCAGACTTCTCAGGTCTTTTCAGTTTTGAAAATAGATGTTTTCACAGTGCGCTTAGATTAATCTAATACAATTCAAAATCATATTATTATTATTATTGTTGTTGTTGTTGTTGTTGTTGTTGTTAAAATGTGTGTTTTGAGTTTGAAATCACAAAGTCGGTCATCCCTGGATATGTAGCTTTTAAACAAAGTGTTTAACAGTTAATAATATTACACAGATCTGTAATATAAGAGGAATCAGATGTAAATATATATGAACTGTGTCATCTTGTACACATAGACCTACTTCTGCTGTGGAACAGAGAGAAAGCTGGTGTGTTGTCCAGATAGAGACGCTGTGTGGTTTAAATGTTATTATATCTGTATGAGTCAGACACACCATTCATTTTTTTTACATTTAATTTTAAAGTTCATTCCTAATTGTTGAATTTATATATATATATATATATATATATATATATATATATATATATATATATATATATAGCCAAAAGTATTTACTGACCCATCCAAATCATTGAATTCAGGTGTTCCAATCACTTCCATAGCCACAGGCGTATAAAAAAAGCACCTAGGCCTGCAGACTGCTTCTACAAACATTAGTGAAAGAATGTGTCGCTCTCAGGAGCTCAGTGAACTCCAGCGTGGTACCGTGATCGGATGCCACCTGTGCAACAAGTCCAGTCGTGAAATTTTCTCACTACTAAATATTCCACAGTCAACTGTCAGTGGTATTATAACAAAGTGGAAGCGATTGGGAACGACAGCAACTCAGCCATGAAGTGGTCGGCCACGTAAAATGACAGGGCGGGGTCAGCGGATGCTGAGGCGCATAGTGCGCAGAGGTCGCCAACTTCCTGCAGAGTTAATTGCTACAGACCTCCAAACTTCATGTGGCCTTCAGATTAGCACAAGAACAGCGTAGAGAGCTTCATGGAATGGGTTTCCATGGCCGAATGGGTTTCCATATTTTTCAGGAGTTGGGCTCGGCCCCTTAGTTCCAGTGAAAGGAACTCTTGATGCTTCAGCAGACCAAGAGATTTTGGACAATTTTATGCTCCCAACTTTGTTCCAACATGACTGCATACCAGTGCACAAAGCAAGGTCCATAAAGACATGGATGAGTGAGTTTGGCATATTAAACCCTATGGATTAAGAATGGGATCTCACTCAAGTTCATATGCGTGTGAAGGCAGACGAGCGAATACTTTTGGAAATGGAAATAGAAATAGAAATAGAAATACATACATACATATACATATATAGGGCGGCATGGTGGCACAGTGGGTAGCGCTGTCGCCTCACAGCAAGAATGGCCTAGGTTCGATTCCCAGCCGGGTGACCAGGGTCATTTCTGTGTGGAGTTTGCCTGTTCCCCCTGTGTCTGCGTGGGTTTACTCCCACAGTCCAAAAACATGCAGTCAGGCCAATTGGATGTGCTAAATTGCCCCTAGGTGTGTGTATGTCTGTCTGCCCTGTGATGGACTGGTGACCTGTCCAGGGTGTATCCTGCCTTCCGCCCAATGACAGCTGGGATAGGCTCCAGCACCCCACCATGACCCAGAAGGATAAGTGGTTTAGATGATATATATAAAACATATGTTTGGTGACAATTCCTTTTTCATTCAGTGTGGGTGTTTATGCCTGTGTTGTGTTTTGTGAATTGTCTGCTTTGTTAAATTATCTGTATCATTCATTTTATACTGTATCAGTTGTAAATCTGTCTTTTTAATCATAGAAACTGTAGTAACACAAATTTCAGTCCACAACTCTTTATTCTAAGATATTTTCCCCCATTTTGTGATTCATAGTGATTCTGTTCTGTCGTCCAGACTGATTAATTTATATAATTAAAAAAGTACATTTTTGTGGATATTAAGCTTTCAGTCTTTTCAGCTAATGGGGAAAGTTATAGATTATGTTTTGTGTTTATGTTTGGAAAATATGACAAATTTTAACAGCACTGTGTCTTATCAATGCAACACTTTTATATCAGTCTTTGAAAAGTCATAAATTTGATTATATACTGCAGTGAAATCTCTTAACCTACTGGGACCCACATCAGATCCCAGAGATAAGACCAGTGTTGTGAAAAAATGGCACCTGAAATATTTTGAGAGTGACTGGAGCAGCCAGTTATGACAGAAAGATACGATGGTCTTACTGGGTGATGACTGTACTAAGAGCTTTGGGCATCTGGGCTCATAGTCCTAGCAGATAAAACCAGAAAATAGTTATGATCTTTTTAAACAGACTTTCCAACCAGTAAAGCGTCAATGGTGCCTGACTAAACTACAAGTATTCCAGTGCGCCTGGAAGGAGAGCCTTATACACTAGAGAAGGGCACTCACTGCAGCACGCTCGGTTTATCTCTCCTCTCTGGCTGAAAACAATAAGATTGATTCTACATTACTGTTTAACACAGTTTCTAAATTAACTAAGAACCAATCAGCTACTGACCCCCAGCCACCATCAGCCGAAAGAAATAATGATTTTTTGGATATCTTCAATGATAAAATTGAAACGATCAGGCAAAAAATTCAAAATGCAGTTATACTCTACAAACCTGCAGCCTTACAAAGCCAATCCAGATTTTGAGTACATTATAACTATAGCAGAGAGGCTGGAATTCTTTACCTCACTATATCAAATAGACCTGATTAAAATGATTTCCTCCTTTTTGCATACTAGATCTAATTCCTACAAATGTACTCAAAGAACAATGTACTCAGAAATGCAAAGTGATTTATACAGTAAAATGAGCAAAATATTGGAAAGATTATGGTTTCATCAAAATTAACTAAACTTTTAGATTTTCTTCATGCAGCCTCTTGTGTAGAACAGTATAAATAACAGAAATAATGAATGAATGAATTAATAAATACATAAATAAAAAACCTTAAGTGAATAAAAATAATTATTTTGTTAAAAACCACATTCTTTCCAAAAAAAAAAAAGCTGAAAGGTGATTCATTATCGGTTTGTCCACAAGCTTTAGGAAACATCTATGAGGGAAAGTTGAGTGGACCTAAGTGATCACTGCACCACTTCCTCAAAGGACTAAACCGAAAGCAGCTCCGGTAAACAGGTAAGGAAAACTGTGACATGTCGCCCTCATAGTCCGAGAGAAGACCCCCCAGATCAGCGCTCTGGACTCAACACGGTGAGATTATCAATAACAGAAATGAGGAATATTGACTGAGATTAAAGCAGGACCGGGTGTTGGTGTTTCCTCCCGGTTTAAACCCGTTTTAATCCGAACTCAGAGATGGATTAAAGTTATGCACTCAGGTTACAAGATGTCTGAGGGTCAAAGACGTCGACACAAACATCAGAGAGATTAAAGGACTAAAAGGTTTTAGTATAAACAGGTTTGACTGTAGAGAAACACTACAGAACTATACAGTGGGAACAGCGAGCAGTGCTGGTTATATTCAGCTCTACTCCTGTTTTAGTCCGATAGTTGGACCAGTTTGATTTAATATATTTTACATTTTTATGTTACTGAACTCGCAGATTGTCTGAATGTAAAGCGTGTTGTTAATGTGCAGTAGCGCTGTTTCACCAGAAGAGGGAGCATAAAGACTGCAGAGCAACATGCTGTCTCTACAGGAAGGTCGATCTCCAGGACCAGGGTTAACACTGCTTTTGAAGAAAATAGTTGGTCATGATTTGAACATTATGGAACTGGAGAACCTAATATTGAAATTCTTTCCCAATGTAATAAAATGTAACAAAATTAATTTAGTCAAAGATGTAACAATAATAACTGGCCCATCAATGTAATACAGTAACACTGTATAATAACTTTGACATCATTAACTTATAATTCAACAAATAATCTGTACATCAAACTTTGAACATCTACAAATGTTTATATGTCCATGTAAATGTTTATGTCCATTCATATTTGCAAGTGACATGCAGTGGTATTCAAAAGTTTTGACACCCTGATCAAATTAGACAGTTTATTGATATTCTAAGTGGAAAATATAGAGAACACACTCTGGGACATTTTAATACACACTCACTGTTTATTTGCAAATCATTTTTTAGTCCAACGAATGTGGAACTTTCTTAGAGATAAATAAGCTTAATTCTTTATCAAGTGTGACTTGAGTTTATATAACTTAACGGTTTAGTTAAAAATCCTGTTAACAGTTGTGTGTAAATCATGTGTTCTTCAGTTATAGATTTGTAGTGGTTAATGAAAAAAAAACTGATCATAGTTTATGTTTCCAGTAAATGTGCTTCTCAGTTTCCTATGCATGTTAACACTTTCAACTGCATCAACAGGGTTACATTTATTTTTGACTTCATGTTTGCTTTACTTACAGTCACTTATGACCAGACATTCACTGTATCTGGTAAATATTACATTCAGTCATTATATACAAGTATTTCACAGTAAAACTAAAGTAGGCCAAAAATGAAATGAATCAATGACCTTTAATTATGAATTTTAACACAGTGAAAACTTATTTTCCAAATACATTTAAATAGTAATGCTCTAAAGAAGGAGTCTGGACAAAGTCAGTAAGTCAGATGAAAGAAACATGTTATAAAAAAACACCACAGTAAAGTGAGGGGGAGCACTTACACCAGTGTAAGGTTGAGCATAAACCACACCTTTAAATGCATTTGAATTTATTAAACCATCTCAGTCCTAAGTCAAAATGCCAGTGCTTCAGTTTAGTTGCCTTCATGAAAGCAAAAGACTAAAAGCAACATCAGGTGATTTCAAAAGGCCTGAATATACTGTGGTGTTTTTTGAGTTGTTTTTTTTTCAGTTGAGGCCACTGAGTTTGAAGAAATCGAGTGGCACATTAACAATCTTGAAGGTGGATGGTGAAGAAGACATGGCCTGAAGGAATGGATAAATAAGTGCAACGATTGCCCCCTCCTGGTTGTTTCCAGCCAGCCGAGAGCTAGATGGCTCACTGAGGAAGACGATGAAGGAAACGGTGTGGCAAGGCTCGGCAGCAGAGTCCAGCTGGAGCCTTGTGAGAGAGAGAGAGACAGCGCATCACTCACTGTGCTACAACAGTGAGGGCCCCTGGAAGCCATACTCTGTACAGCTGCAAGTGGTTGCATTACAGCTATGTCTGGTGCTGGAGGGGAAAGCACTACAGGTGCTTGTGGATCTGCTGCCAGAACAAAATGATGATGCTGACCACGGCCCTCCAGCGATGCTTTGGGCAGGCGCCAGTGGCACTGGTGGTCAAGTGGCTACTCGTGGAGACTAAATGGAGAGCACATATGCATGCTGTTGATGGAGCTGAGCTCACTGGTTCGAAAGGCATACCTGGCATTCGAGAAGGCTGTGTGGGAGAGGTTGGCACTAGGGCACTCCCTGAGTTTGCCACAGCAGGAGGAGCTGAGACGGCATGTACAGGTCACTGCACCAGCCAGCCTTTTAGTAGCTGAGAGAGCAGAACTCAGCCTTGGCGTGAAAATGCCAGGGCAAGCAACACTGTGCGACGCGGCAAAGGAGCTTGAGGAAGAGACGACCTGCCAAGCAGCCCCTGATGAAAAAAAGCAGCGCCAAAGTGTCTGGTGTGCTGGCGCTGCAGGAAGAGAGGGCACCATGCTAGTCAATCCCATGAACCTTTGTTAGTGGGGAGACGTAACCTAGCCATAAAGATCCGCTGCCACCACGGACTTAGGGTTTAGTGCTGTATATCAGGAGACAGCATAGTGCCCTCAATCCAGGCGTCCACCCTTGCAACACTTGCCACCTGGGAGGTGAATACCATCTGACTCAAGTCAGTCACCATCAGCTGAGTTGATGTGAGAAGGGATAAAGGACAGGCTGGGACTCCCCGCACTCCAGAGACTTTATTTGGGCTGTGTGGGTCGCCCAGGATGGCCAGCCCTTGGGGGTACTATATGGCATCCACCATGTGCCATGTTGCTGTGAGGAGCTTATGGGGTGTGGCCATGCAAAATGGCTTTTGGGGGGCATTTGCCCATATGCACAATGTTTTCTGCATCGTCTTTTAGGCTGACACTACTTCTGAAGATAGAGGGATAAAATGTAAAAATAGAAAGGGAAGAGCTGGTGTCTTCAGTAAGCTGGTCACTTAAGTTAAAAAATGTTCAATAGATACATGCAAAAATGTGTATTAAGACTTGCTGAGTGGGTGCTTAATTGGTGGACTGATAAAGCAGATTATGCTGGCAATTATAACTTGATTTGGCATCGAGAAAGAGGCATGGAATGAAATCTAACTGCAGCTTAATGTAATATCTGTTTTATTCCAATGTACACTATATGGACAAAATTATGGGAACACACTTCTTAATCATTGCATTCAGGAGTTTCGCTCAGTCTCATTGCCACAGGTGTGTAAAATCAAGCACCTAGCCCTACAGTCTGCCTTTACAAATAAATGTGAAAAGAATGGATTGTTCTAAAGAGCTCACTGAATTTGAGTGTGGTACTTTAATAGGATGCCGCTGTTGCAACAGGTCAGTTTGTGAAATTTCATCCCTTCTAGAGCCACTGCAACTCAGTCACAGAATGTCAGACCAAGTAAAGTTACAGCGCAGGGTCACCAAGTGCTGAGGCACATAGTGCATAAAAGTGGCCAAGCTCTGCTGACTCAATAATTGCAGAGCTACAAACCTCCTCTGGCATCAACATCAGCACAAAAACTGTGTACCAGGAGCTTTATGGCATGAGTTTCCATGCATGCAATCCTTACATTATCAAGCACAATGCCAAGCATTGGATGGAGTTTTGTAAAGCACCGCCACTGGACTCTGGAGCAGTGGAAATATATTATGTGGAGTGACAAATCACGCTTTTCTATTTGGCAGTCTAAAGGACGGGTGTGGGTTTGGCGAATGCCAGGAGAACATTACCAGGCAGGTAACTGACTGTACTGTGCCAAGTGTAAAGTTTGGTGGAGGAGGGATGATGATATGGGGTTGTTTTTCAGGGGTTGGCCTAGAACCCTTAGTTCCAGTGAAGGGAAAACTTAATGCTTCAGTAGACCAGGACTTTGAGGACAACTGAATGCTTTCAACTTTGTGGGAATAGTTTGTGGAAGGATGTTTTCTGTTCTGCATGACAGTTTTTGCATGCCCCAGTGTACAAAGCAAGGTCCACAAAGGCATGGTTGGGTGGGTTTGGTGTGGAAAAACTTGACTGGCCTGCACAGAGCCCTCATCCTCAACCCCTAGAATGTAGCTTTTGAATGAGGCCATCTCATCAAACATCAGTGTCTGATCTCACAAATGCTCTTCTGGATGAATGAGCAAAAATTACCTTAGACACACTCCAAAATCTTGTAGAAGGCCTTCCCAGAAAAGTGGAAACTGTTATACTTGCAAAGAGCAGACCAACTCCATAATAATGCCTGTGGTTTTAGAATGGGATGTAATAAAAGCTCCTGTAGGTAATGAGTAGCTGTACCAGTACCTTTGTCCATATAATGTATAATGCCATGTATATGTGTGTGTGGGTACGTATATAAAATGTGTATATATTGTTACGACCCGCTCTAGGGTCAGGCCATAACAAAGAATAGGAGTGGGCTCTCTCCCCAGACCAGCTGCCAGACCAGACACCGGACACCATTTATACCAGAAAATGACAGGTTTATTTTCTTCAAAAACTCAATAAAGTTCAGGTGATGGCTTCAGGGACGAGCAGTTGCCAAAATAATAAACAAAACAACTAATGATTTCAAACTTAACTGACCTGAAAACAAAAGAAACATATAGGCTACCCTAACTCCCTACCTTAAACAGGAGAAAAGGTAATCAAAACAACATGGCACCCATCCCCTACTTTCCCCAAGCTCTCAAAGTTCAATCAAACAGTCACATTTTTAACAATAGCAGCAAAGCAAAGCAGACAGAAGTAAAGAGTGCAGGCTGGTATGGACAGGTGTTCTTCCAGGTCGTATCAAAGGGGAAAGAGCCCTGAATGTCTCCCAAGATGGTGGCTCAGTGACCTCTTATACTGCCAGGCGCCCCCGAGTGGTCAATCATGCACCTGCACACAACAATGGAAAAACACACAAAATGGCCACAAACAGACACAGAGAAGGGCAGTTATGACTGGGGGTTGTTACAATATATACCACTTCTTTGAAATTGAAACTAACACAAGTACACAACTAACAAGCATCATACAAAAGCATGAATTAACAAGGTAAAAACATCTATTTTGATTTCAGGCTGACTTCAACATCCTGCTTACAAGATCCAGAACTCTCCGCATTGAGCAATAAAAGAGAAACCAGCAGTGCGTCTATGAAGAGTGACCGCTCCATGGGGGACCCTCCTGTATTCAGCAGTGGAGGAGGAGAACCCAGCTCTGTGTCTATTAGGAGTGACTGGTCCATGGGGAACCCTCCTGTATTCAGCAGAGCAGGAGGAGAACCCAGCTGTCTGTCTGTGAAGAGTGATTGGTCCATGGGGAACCCTCCTGTATTCAGCAGTGCAGAAGGAGAACCCAGCTGTGTGTCTGTGAAGAGTGACTGGTCCATGGGAAACCCTCCTGTATTCAGCAGTGCAGGAGGAGAACGCAGCTGTGTGTCTATGAAGAGTGACCGGTCCATGGGGAACCCTCCTGTATTCAGCAGTGGAGGAGGAGAACCCAGCTGTGTGTCTGTGAAGAGTGACTGGTCCATGGGGAACTCTCCTGTATTCAGCAGTGGAGGAGGAGAACCCAACTATGTGTCCAAGAAACAGCCTCCTGGTTTCAGCAGTGAACCTTTGTCCTCTGACCCAGAGTAAGTTACTACCTTTCAGTGTTACACTGATGAGTAATAAAGTGATAATTTAAAAACTTTGAGAGATAGAGCACAGCATGCTTCCAGCTACTAACTAATATAAAGCTGTCAATCACATCAATAGAGTAAAAGATGAGTTCCTAATTCATGATAAATGATGATAAAAAAAGTTGACAAAATCAAACTCAAGAATTAAGTCTTAAATGATCATTGTTTTGTTTTATAAATGGTGGACATCAACTCAAGTAGTCAGGGGCTTCATCAGAATCTTTCCCCAAAATCTTCAAGATTTAGGGCATTTTCACATTAGAGCTTTTTTTCCGGACCCAGGTCTGCTTGCTCTGTGAGATTGATACATTTGGTCAAGTGTGAAAGCTGTTTTCGCAGCCAGGAGTGGTCTAGAGAACCAATGATCCTCCTGAAATCAGGGGTCTGGGGTTTCACTTCCGGCCAACTGTGGTGCGGTCTGCTTTACATATGGAAGCTATTCGTTCCTGGCGCCGCATGGGGGGTTGCACAATTGGTTCATTTTGTAACATGGTTTTACTTATCTTTTCAAGTTTCGTGGTGCCTCAACCCCTGCACACTAACCCAGCTCATGTGTGTGTAATGAAAGTTGTGAACTAACTCTTTTACATCCCTCTCCTAAATAATGTAAAAACTGTGCCAAAAGTCACTGTCACTGCAGATTTGGATGAGGCTAAAATCATTAAGAAACTTCAGTAGCCTAATAAATACTTTACCCCCCGACACCATGTAAAACTGGAAAACATGTAAAATATGTAAACCTTCCTAAACTGAACTCAGTCAGATAATTAATTTTGTTGGCTAAAGAAATATGTGTATGCTAAAATTGCCCCAAGGGGTGAGTGTGTGTGTGGGTGTGTATGTCTGTCTGTCTGCCTTGCGATGGACTGGTGACCTGTCCAGGGAGTTTCTTTCTTTCTGCCCAGTGCGTGTGTGTGTGTGTGTGAGTTTGTGTTTACCGGGCCTATCTCACATCAGCAAGAGTAGTTAGCCTGCTTAGCAAAAAAATGCTGCATCTGAGCTGGCTGATCTATCTCTGCCTTCTCAGTCACATCCTTATCAATGCCCAGATCAGATATAGTCAGTGGTTTTAATGGGTTTTATTTATTAAAACTAGGGCTGAGCGATAAACAAATAACAATTATAGTGATATAACTTTCCTTGGTAGAAATATAGAAATTATTTGATAAATGTTCAAAATAATATACTCTTCTCACGTTTCTGCATTCTACCGACAGCCCTGGTGGCATTTTCCATTGCAAGAAAAGTCACATATAGTCGAAAGTAAGTTTAAATGAAAGTAAACTAAAGATGTATGTGTGTGTATGTTTAGATGTGTGTGTGTGTGTGTGTGTGTGTGTGTGTGGCATTGCAGAGTGGGAGAACGCTAGCTTCCCAGGCTAGCTGTTTTTAGCAGCTGGCTAACGTGAAGCAGCACTCTGTCACTCACACAGCATGGCTGAATTGATGTTATTGTAGTGAACTACAGTGATGAAAGAAGACAAAAAGACAGATCTTGGTGGCATTAACTGCAGGGTGATGCACCCGACAAACAATATCCTAATTTTAGGTGGGAGAGAATCACAATGCAGTGAATGCCACCAATGTCCATCTTTCACACAGCGACTGTCAGATATATTACAGTACTTCTAGTCATGTTTACGCTTTGTACTAAGCTAACTTTGTTGATTTTAGCACCTGTAACCAGATAACCTAGCATTTGTCACCACAGCTGTGCTGTGCATGTAAGAGTGCTGCATTGGCCGGCTGGTAAAAACAGGTAATGTGGGAAACTTTCTCCCACTATCCCAGGACAAAGTTGCAAAATGTTCCTCTTTTTTGGCAAATGTTTGTCATGTTCTGACCATAAAGAATAGTTAAAAAACACAATTTACTGTTTGGTTTCTTCAGCTTTCACTCAGAAGCAAAAATAAGCCTTTATATTTGAAACAAATTGTAATTTGACATTCATCTTGGTAAAAATTTTTATCTTGATAACATTTTTGGACACATTGCCCATCCTTAATTAAACCTTTTCTGAATGTTTGATATAACACTCGGTCATACACACTATATTAAATGCAGTGTGTTCTCTAGGACTTATCTTGTGTATTTATATTTGCTTGGAAAATCTGCATCTGAATACAGAATATGATGTGATATTTTGGCGAGTAAATAATCCAGGCTACCCAAAATTAACTGAATGCATTCATGCTCAATTGACCTTCAGCATTTTGGAAACACTGGGATAGGTTCATACAACTCTGTAACCATGGTACGCTAAGTCAAATTCATATATTTACCATGATAGTGATCAGCCTTTTTTAATCTAAACTGATTTTTTAATCTGATTGGCTGAGCCACTTTCAGAGATAAAATACTAGATATTGAATTCTAAAACCCTTATCAAGTAAGTCACCTTCCACTTCTTCTATTCTGACAACTGCAATTTGCAACAAATAATCTGAACAGAGTGATAATCCCACCAGCATGATATTCTGAAAGAAAAGGGCAATAGCGCCTTGCTGATACCAAACATGCTGGTAATGTTCATTCATGAAAGAGAAAATGTGTTATTGTGATGTTTTTTTGCCCTTAATGTACACCACTATATTATGTATATGGAAAAAAACATATGTGAAAAGTGGTTTCATCAATTCTTATTCCTAGTGAACATGTTTGTGTTACTGTGCTTGATCCCATCAGGCAGAACTCCACAGAAACAGCACTACAGATAAACACTCTGGTTGAAGAAACTGAAAACCTGCATCTGGATTCTTATCATGTAGTAAATGATGTGCTGAACAGAGTCTTAGAGGCACACAAAACCAGCATGAAGAACAAGTATGAGAGCTTATTTGAGGGAATCAAAACTGAAGAGAATAAAACCCTCCTGAACAGGATTTACACACAGCTGTACATCATAGAGGGGGAGAGTGAAGGAGTGAATGAAGAACATGAGGTTCTACAGATGGACAAAACATCCAGGAAACACTTACAAGACATTCCAATCAACTGCTTAGATATCTTTGAAGAAGAAACAGAAAAGCAGAATATTAGAGCTGTGAGAGCTAAACGTATCAGGCAAAATGGAAGAAAAGAGGATGAAGAACCAAAACAGCAAAAGATCAAAACTGTTCTGACTAAAGGAATCGCTGGCATTGGAAAAACTGTCTCAGTGCAGAAGTTCGTTCTGGACTGGGCTGAAGGAAAAGCCAATCAGGATGTAGATTTCATGATTGTGCTTCCGTTCCGGGAGCTGAATCTGATTAAAGATGATCAATACAGTCTTCATGGACTTCTGTGTGGTTTCCATCCTGAGCTCAAAGATCTGAACCCAGAGATTTATGATCAGATCAAAGCTGTGTTTATATTTGATGGTCTGGATGAAAGCAGAATTCCACTGAACTTTGAACAGTGTGAGAAAGTATCTGACATCACCATGACATCATCAGTGGGTGTGTTGATGACAAACCTCATCAAAGGAGAGCTGCTTCCCTCTGCTCTGATCTGGATCACCTCCCGACCAGCAGCAGCCAATCAGATCCCTCCTAAATACATCAACCGTGTGACAGAGATTCAGGGATTCAGTGACCCACAGAAGGAGGAGTACTTCAGGAAGAGGATCAGTGATGAAGACCAAGCCCAGAGAATCATCTCCCACATTAAGACAGTGAGGAGCCTCCACATCATGTGCCACATTCCAGTCTTCTGCTGGATCTCAGCCACTGTTCTTCAGAGAATCATGAAACAGCCTCATACAGAAATCCCTAAAACTCTGACTGAAATGTACTCACACTTCCTGATCACTCAGACAAACATGAAGAATGAGAAGTATGAGGAGAAAGAGAAGAGAGACCAAAAGAAACTTCTGGAGTCCAACAGAATCATGATTCTGAAATTGGCTGAACTGGCTTTCAAACAGCTGATGAAGGGCAATGTGATGTTCCATGAAGAGGACCTGAGAGAGTGCGGCATTGAGGTGACTGAAGCCTCAGTGCATTCTGGGATTTTCACTGAGATCTTTAGGGAGGAATGTGTGCTTTTCCAGAAGAAGGTCTACAGCTTTGTTCATCTGAGCTTTCAGGAGTTCCTGGCTGCTGTCTTTGTATTTCACTGCTGCGAGAGCAAAATCATGGAGCCACTGCAGTGTTTTAAACCAAGGTACAGAGGGCGGTCTGAGAATTTTTCATTGGATGAGCTGCTGGAAGGATCACTGCATAAAGCCTTAGAGAGTCAGAATGGACACCTGGACCTTTTCCTCCGTTTCCTGCTGGGAATTTCGCTGGAGTCCAATCAGAGACTCCTACAGGGTCTACTGATACACACACAGAGACAACCAGAGACAATTAAAGAGTACATCAAGGAAGTAATAAAAAAAAATACAGATGAACAAGATCACATCTCAACTGAGAGATCCATTAATCTGTTCTTCTGTCTGTCTGAAATGAATGACCAGACTCTCTTCAGAGAAATTGAGGAGTATCTAAAATCAGAGAAACACTCAGAAGATCTTTCTCCTCCACAGTGTTCAGCACTAGCCTATATGATCCTGAACACTGAAGAGGTGATGGATGAGTTGTACCTTAGAAAATACACAACATCAGAGGAGGGTTATAGGAGACTGATCCCAGCTGTGACTCTCTGCAGAAAAGCTCTGTAAGTCTATTATCTTCAGACTAATATAACTGTTAATATTTAAATATTGATGATTTAATATGACAACAAATCTGGTAAAGGGTTAAAATATATATTTTTAGTTATATAGTGTTTAGATTTTGGAGTCTTTCAGCAGTACATTCCTTTTCCACTTTACCATAAACCCTCCTTTGCAGCTTAACCTTGTTGGAGTCACTTGCAGACTGTAGCCCAGGGGTGCACAACTCTCAGTCCTGGAGGGTCAGTGTCCTGCAGAGTTTAGTGATTTACCTGTTCAAACACACCTGATTCAACTTCTGTTTTAAATGTCGGGTTTATTAGGGATGTTTGAGTACCCTCTCAGACTCTTAACTGTTTATTAACAGGTAATGTGGTATTTGTTAAAAAAAATACAAGCTTTTTTAACATTTATGAGAAATATTTTTCATAAAATCAACAAATGATCTTGGTTTCACTTTGATGATGGTCAAAGTGAAACCTATGTTCCAGCATGAGTGGAGACATGTGCATTGAGTGCAGAAAAAAGTTTCTAACTGACAGCAATGCTTAGCCAAGCAGATTGTAAAGTAAACATATTTTGTTCTGAACACCTGAGATTATAGAGCTATCAGATGTTGCAGATTACTTAAAGACAATAGGGTTCTTGCAGTATTTTTCATTGCTGACTAGTTAGCTGCAGGCATCAATCTTAATCCTCAACACTCTTTGTTTGTTCTGCCACTCCCTCTTTGGTGGATGTGCTAGAGAGACCAAAAGACTGAAAGATGGTAAATGATCATAACAATATTAATGTACAAAAAATAGTTTTCGCATTACTTTAGAATGTATATGCATCTCAATAAACAAAACAGAAAAACCAAATGCTAAAGGCTAGGCTTGTGTAGTTTTAAACCCAGTGTGGGAAATTGAAGAATAAATAGCTCTGTTAGCTTAGTACTCACATAACCCTGCAAATAACATTAATATACGATCAGAAATCAACACCATTGTAGTTGAGGATAAACAATGTCTACTTCAGATATATGAGAGCATATTAAATAGCAATAATTATAATTTAACCTATTTTACTCCTTTACCAAATACACTTGTTCATCTCATATCTAAGAAAGGGAGGAGGCTTACCCATGGTCAGAGATCATTCAGCCAGACAGATCACTCCATACTGTTTACAAATAGCTAGCTTATTTATTAATTGGGATAAATGAACAAGATACATGGAGCAAGGAATCATCAGTCTTATCAACAGATTGGCATTTATGGATCTAATACAGGAGATGAATCACAGATTACACAAGTTATTTAGAGACAAATCTTATTGAGGTCTCTGGTAAAAATGTAACGTAAATTTGCTGACATTAAAATACTCTCGCCTCAGAGGAAGGCTAGCAGAGGCAGCCTGGGAATCAGACCTGAGCATATGAGCAAGTTTCAGGCCTTACTGTGCCTGTGGGGAATAGGTTTGCGTTGTTCTAATTATGCAGGTTGTGGGTTTGGTTGCTTGGGCTCAGCAGGCAGCTTCTTATTGAGCTTATACAAGCACAGATCAGGGCAAACTCGGTATGGAACTTTTCACCATGGCAAGACACGTTTCCTTGGCTGGTGACAGCAGAATGGCTGGCTGGTTCAGAAGGGATGCCAGTTTCACTCACTCCACACCACTCGGCTACTCCAAGGCTCTGGTTTCATACAATAGTGACAAAGTACTAGTCAGTTTTCTAACTAGGCAACATAATTCAAGGCTCTATAAGACTAACATTCCGATATTTCTAAAATTATGATTAAATACAGAAAGGATATCATATGGACCATGTATATAACATATTTAAAAATCATAACACTTGAAGAACAAAAAGAAGAAGGTAGACATCCCTTAATAAAGGCTGTATGGAATGGCTAGACATTGTTACCGTCTGACAATGTCTTTGGGTGGTTAGAAACATAAGACAAACTAACAAGGCAGCAGAGTGATAAAACCATATCACAGTCTCTAATGATAAGGAAGAGTTAAGATGTGGTATACAAGGCTTCCTTAGTGTTGGAAAATGGAAAAGGCTCAGTGAAAAGAATATTAGATAGATAAGGCAGAGAGAGAAGGTCTGGGAAAACACACAGCTGTGTCCTTTGAGAGTCATAAAGGTTATTTAGTGTCTTCTGTCAAGAGAGAAGTAGAGTAAACCCCCTTTTCTAACCCTAACCATTTTATAAAAAAAAAGTCCATTACCTCTGGAGGCTGGAGCTTTTATCACCCATGTTGAACTTTGGATACCAAACCTGGGGTTTACTTTATGGAAAACCTGCTGGAGCAACTGCACAGGTTTCTACATTAGCCTTCTGGGGTCTGAGGGCATTTTCATAATCTTTGCATATATTCTTAAACTTGCATATGACCTTTTACCCATGTTATACATCAAAATGTTCAGAACCATCTAACTCTCTCTATAGTGAGGCACTTTTTATGTAGATCACTGCATAAAGAGATAATTCAACTATAAAGATAAAGAAAGAGTCTGATCACTGCATAAATTGTTTTGGTGCTTTAAATGGGTTTACCAAAGCCTTTGGTCCACAACAGTAGTGGAATGTATGTATAAAATAGTAAATAAATGTTCTCCTTTCATTACCTTCCAAAACTGCTGCAGCAACATCAGCGGCTGCAACCTTTTTACACACCAATTCACACAAAAACATAAAATGAAAGTTTTCCAACATGATAGGTAGGTTCTTAGTGATTTCCTGAGTGTCCATAGACAGACACATGAATCCACCAATTACAGATGAGACACAGACGACAGGCACACAAATCACCAGTGAGACACAGTAAGAGGCAGATAGCATGTGTCTCAACTTGTCTTCATTGGCTCATAATACTGGATGTGAGTCACGTACAATCTCTCAATAAGACAGAACTGAAAGGGCAGACTCGACAGATTCAAGAACATTTTGAACAATGTTTCTGCACTGTATTTTCAAAAAGATATTAATAGATACCCCAAGAAGCATCTCATTTGATACAAGGCGCATTTGTCAACCCCATTATTATATAATGATATGCACTTCTGGTACATATTCACAATTACGTGATCTAAAAAAATGTCAAGGATAAAGAAATTATGTGTTTATTCTGTACTTTATTTTATTCGGTTACAGTTCAGGTACTAGTATATTTGATGCTTTTTGTTAGAGTAGCTTTCAGATTTTGGTAAAGGTTGCATTGCTTAATGGCAGGGTTTCAACCCTTTTTTAGAACACTTTTTAAAAATGTAATGTCAACCATGATAAATGTTTAGTAAATACAATATAATTGTAATGATTGCACATAGGGTAAATTGGATTGTGTAGGGAGGAGGGACGTAGTGCTTGTGCAGTGTGGCTAAGAAGCACAGATATTATAAAGTGGCATAATTGTCAAACCGGCAGGAACCAGCAAACTAAGCAGACATTGCCACATACATGTTTGCCACTAAATCAATGGCATTTTCCTTATGCTTTTATTTAAGAAAGTATTATTTTAACACAAAACTCGTAAAGCTAATAAAGAAGAATTTACTTAAGTGTGGCATTCCTTGTTTTAATAATACTATATTGTGTTGTTCTTTTGCAGACTTGCTGGTTGTAATCTCAACACGGATTCCTTAGAAACTATCTGTTCTGCTCTACAATCAGCAAACTGCCCCCTCAAAGATCTGAACCTCAGTAGCAATGACCTGCAGGATTCAGGAGTGGAGCTGCTCTCTGCTGGACTGAAGAGTTCACACTGCAAACTAGAGAAACTCAGGTGAACTTTCTGTCAATTTATTCTTATTGTACTTGTACAACCACCAATAGAGTAATGGTAATACTACTTAAAAAATGGTAAAGAACATAAAGACGGTTTACTTTTAAACATGCAGTGTACAGTATGACAATATTTTAGATTGTGATAACAAGTTAGGTATTTACCATGATGCCATTTTTTCAGATTTGCACATTTCTAGCTTTGCTACAAGGTATTCTTTATATATTTCAGTATTAATATATGATAATCTACAGAAATGCATTAAAAGGTCAATAACATGAACCTTACTGGTTACTCCTTAGTTATCCTTACTTATTTAAGTGGACTGTTGTTATAATGTGATAGAGTTAGTACTCACCAATATGGAGAACTAGACTAACATGATAATTTTTTTCTATTTGTTTATTTATCAAGTTACTTGTTTATTTCAGTGTTCTTTTTTACTCTAATCATGCTAGAAATATATAAAATTGCCTTAAAGGACATGTACTGTTCTCTAAACCTGATTTACATTTCACTATAAGAGCTGTTGGATGGCACAGTGGCACAGAGGGGTAGCATTGTTGCCTTACAGCAGGAAGGGCTTGGGTATGATTCCCAGCCAGGCGACCAGCCTCCTTCCTATGTGGAGTTTGCATGTTCTCCGTGTCTCTGCGTGGGTTTCCTCTGGGTACTCCGGTTTTCTCCCACAGTCCAAAGATATGCAGTCAGGCGAATGGGATATGCTAAATTGCGTGTGTAAATGTATATATCTGTCTCTCTGCCCTGTGATGGACCTTTCTGGTGTATCCTGCACCTGGAAGGATAAGCAGCTTAGAAAATTTGTGTGTGGGTATCAGAGCTATTGTAATTCCACTCCCTTCACAGTCTAATCTAGTTTAAATATATATACAGAAGGTTTCATTGATAAGATGTAACATATAAAATAAAGAATGCGTTACAATAATGTCTGCTTGAAACTGTCTGTGTGTAGGCTAGAGCTGTATGCTATTAATCCAGTGTGGAAAAATGAGAAATGTAAAGTATCATTAAAACGGTGCTAACAAAATATAGCAAATACCCAAGAGGCTATCAGAAATTAGAATTATTGTAGCAGGACGTTAAGAAATGATCCTTTTTAAGTAACAGTTTCCCCAATAAGCACAGTTCTATATTACATATATCTGGTGCATGTTCATGATTACAACATTAAAAAAATTAAATAACTTTATTATATGTTGGAGCACCTTCATAGCTTTCAGCTGCCAAGCACTATGAGTTTCAACTCCAGACATATCTGCACATGGATGTATATATTAATATTTATAGAGACAAAGAAAATCACAAGTGTCATAGACAGTTTTACGTGTTTAATTTTTAATTATTATTTCATTGTACAAACTTTGTTTATATACAGTTATATACAGTTTTAAGGTGTTACGAGAGCAAGTAGGCAAAAATTTCAAACCAAGAGGTGCAAAAGTGGAGACAATGAAAAGCTACAATGCTGCTTGAATACACAAATTGGACTGATTTTAAAGTGTTGACATACTGCCTCTATGAACACACAGAGACCATGGCATCATACATCAACTACATCATAGAGGAAATACAGCAATGATACAGTGTACATAGATATAATAGTATGCATATCTGTATATCTACATATACCAATAGTCATTAAATTGACTATAAGACATAAGTACAAATTATTACGTCTCCCATTAATTTCCAATCAGTAACAATCTATAATATTAAAAAAACATCATATTACAATAGAATACATTCTGATGTAGATACATATAACTGAGCATATATGTAGTAAACTATGTAAGTGCAAACTCCACTTCAAAGTTTTTCTTAATGTGACATTGCAGAGGTTTTCTGTTCGCGTTTCTTATTAATCTAACATTAACCAGCTGATGAATAGATGTATGTAGCGTTATTTATTCAACAGAAAAAGGGAAAGAAAAAAAAAACAAAAAAAACCTCACATGGCGTCCGCCATTTTAACCACACAGTACACAGTACATCCACTGAAAATAAGCACATTAACTAACGTTTCAAACATGGCTATGGGAGTACTCACCTGTGTATAAATCATTTAGAGCAAAGCAGAAAGATATATTGGTGTCAATAGCTTCTCAGAAAATGCCTAGCAAAAGAAACAATATGAACATTAGGCACAAAGGCAAGGAAGCAAAACGCCCATCAGTTACCACTGGGGGGAGCTAAAACACCAAGCTTATTAACCATTTTATCGCTCTGCTCAAAAAACATTTTAATGCTCAAAAACATTACTTGCACCTCTGTAGTTCATGTCGCTATATTCATAGTGGTAAAATACACAAATATACTTACAAAAACTCTATCTTAAAACACTAGAATGAGTTATTTGGACAGAGTACTTCACAAACACAATTCAGGTTCAGGTCAGGTTCACTGCAGGCTGAGAAAAAAAATTCAACACGACAAAGGGAAAAAAACTATGGGTGCTGAGAAAGGACAAAATACATACGTATTCTCATAAGCCATGAAGAACAGTTACAAACTTGAAAGGTAGAACTTGAGGAAAGAATTTCAAGTGAACCTAATAACAAAAAATTTATATATATATGTATGTATAAATATATATGTATATATGTATATTCTGTTGGCAGACATATATATATATATATATATATATATATATATATATATATATATATATATATATATATAATATGAAATAATTAAGGTAAATTATTTGGTCGTCTGGGATTCTCTGCTCTCCCAACTGCTACAGCGAGCCTATCTGGACTAAGCGGTTAACAATGATGATGATGATGATGATGATGATGTTACACCTGCTACACTGTCACCCCTTCTTTTCAATCTCTACTTCAATTACTGTGTACTACCTGTCAACAACCTGAAGTTGGTGAATGGCACCACTATGGTTGACCTTACACCAATGGTGATAAGTCTGCCAACAGAATAGAAATTGAGCATCATATTCAGGCACCTGAAATTGGAGGGGAACACAGTCTGCATGAATAGACAGTACAGCAGAGAATGTTCTTCCTGAGGCAGTTGAAGATCCAGTAATCCAGTTCTACACAGTGATCACTGAGTGTAAACCATCTGGTTTGTTTTTTCCACTTCTGAAGAATAAGCCAAACTCCAGCTCATAATCATGACAGTGGAGAGAATCATTGGATGTAGTTTGCCAACTGTTTATGACATCTACAACAGCACAGTGATGAAGCACACTGGCAAGATTACAGCTGACCTCTGTCATCCTGTACCTCACCTCTTCCAGCTACTTCTCTCTGGTAGAAGATTAAGGGCCATATACAGTTTTGAGATTCAGGGCCATATACAGCTAGTCATGCTGAAAGCTTTTTCCCCCAGAGCTGTGGTGGTCAATAACTGTAGTGGACACTTTGCACTTTAAACTTAACCTGAACCTAACAATCCTCCCTGCCTGTATTACAGTAACTCATCTGTACCATAACGTTTATTTGTACAACTTTACAAAAGTAAATTCTTTACAGATATCCATATTAGTCTGTACTACACTGTATATAATAGTTATTATACTATACAGGAGAGATCTGTGAATAAATATTCACAGATCCCTCCTGTTGGACTCCTTTCACATTGTGCCTTTTGTATTTTCTCTCTCATTCCTTATTTTACTTATTTTATTTTATTGTCTTTGTACCTTAGTTAAATGTCTTATTTTCTTTGGAATATTTGTTAATAGTCTGTGTACTTCTCTGATCCTGTTTACTTTTTTACTTGCCATACATATTCCTTGTATGTAGAACATACTTGGCAAAACAAAGTGATTCTAGAAGTAAAAAACAAGATGCAAATTAATCAGATTAATAGATTGATCAGACCAATAAAGGGGGACTTTTAATTCTTAGACATTTGAATTCACACCCCTGTTTTAATTATACTGTCTTTATTATTCCTCTGCAGACTGGCTTCCTGTAATCTTAATAGCAAAGCTTGTGACATTCTCAGTTCTATTCTGCAATCAGCAAACGTCTCTTTGACAGAGCTGGACCTCAGTAACAATGACCTCCAGGATTCAGGAGTGGAGCTGCTCTCAGCAGGACTGAAGATTTCACCCTGTACACTGGAAATACTCAGGTAATTAATCACATTTGTCTAAATTGACCCTAGGTCTTGGTATGTGGAATGTAACCTCACTCGGGGGGAAGGGATCGGAGCTTGTGCAGGAGGATAAGAGGTACCAACTAGATATAGATGGGCTCACTTCCACCCACAGTGTTGGCTCTGGTACCAAACTCCTTGATAGGGGTTGGTCCCTCCCCTACTCAGGAGTTGCACAGGGTGATAGGTGCTGGGCAGGTGTGGGGATACTCACAAGTCCCCGGCTGGCTGCCATGCAGTTGGAGTTTGTCCCGGTGGGTGAGAGGGTCACCTCAAGGCAAATTAAAATTGCAGAGAGGAAAACTCTGACTGTTGTGTGTGCTTATGCACCGAACAAAAGGCATTCAGCCTTCTTGGAGCAAGTGGGCGGAGTTCTGGAAAGGGCCCTGCCTACAGACTCCATAGTCTTGCTGGGAGACTTCAGTGCCCATGTTGGTGATGACTGGGAGACCTGGAGAGGTGTGATTGGGAAGAATGGCCTCAAATGGTGAACGGTTATTGGACTTCTGTGCTAGGAATAGATTGTCCATAACAAACACCAAGTTCAAACACAAGGATGTTCATAAGTGTCCATGGTACCAGTGCTCCTTGGGTCAAAGGTCAATGATCAACTTTGTTGTCATTTCGTCTGACTTGGTATCTTCTGGACACTTAGGGGGAAGAGAGCTGCTGAGCTGTCAACCGATCACCATCTGGTGAGTTGGATCAGATGGCAGGGTAGACTGATGGTCAGACCCGGTAGGCCCAAGGGAATAGTGAGCATGTGCTGGGAATGACTGTCAGAGGCCCCTGTTCAGAATGATTTTAACTTCCTTTTCCAGGAGAGCTTTTCTCATATTTCGCAGCAGGTAGGGGACATGGAGTCTGAATGGACCCTGTTCAACACCTCCATTGTGGAAGCTGCCAGACATAGCTGTGGCCAAAAGCTTGTTGGTTTCTGTCAGGCTGGTAACCCAAGAACACCCTGGTGGTGAGGGAGGCCGTCAAACTGAAGAAAGAGGCCTTTAGGGACTGGATCACACTGCTCAGCCTCCCTGGGAAAGTTTATGCCAAGGTGCTGGAAAAAAGACTCTGACCAATAGTTGAACCTCGGGCTGAGGAGGAACAATGCGAATTCCATCCTGGCCATGTAAAAATGGACCAGCTTTTCACACTCTCACAGATTGTTGAGGGGGCATGGGAATTTGCGAATCCAGTCTACATGTGTTTTGTGGACTTGTAGAAGGCTTACAACGTGTTCCCTGAGATATCTTGTGGGAGGTCTTCTGGGAGTATGGAGTGCTAGGGGCTACTACTCTGGGCCATGTTCGTATACTTATACTTAAGTCAGACTCTTTCAGTGTTAGTTTGCCACTTTGTTGTTGCTTTTTGCTGTTTGTTGATTTATCCATCCTTTGAGCACTGTCCATTGTAGTTTGTTGAATTAGTTATATTGCCACATCAGTGGAGTATATGTTGAAATTGCATTTGATGAAAAATGGTGTAAATGATGCTTTAGACTTATAGCAGTAGCTGGCAATAGCTTCCAGAGATCCATCAATGGAATTTGTCAACTTGCCACTTGGAACTTGCTAATATTTATTTGAGCAAGAGGGATACAGTCACAGAGCAGCTGGGCTTTAGTCTATATGGTTGGTTCAAAAGGTCAAAATAGGCAAATGTGTTGATCGCATTACATTTTTAGCATTAATAATTTATAATTGTGCTTTCACAAACACACGCACACACACACACACACACACACATACTAATGCTATTCTTACTGGGAAGTTATCTTTCCAGGTTTCCTCTCGCTCAACATCAACCATTTCTTCTACTCAATTCCTTTCAAATATTATAGGATGGAAAGCAAATCTGAAAGAGATTTGATGAAGAGTTGTGGGAACATTAAAATTTAATCTTTGTAAGTCTGGCTTGATCCTCTTTAATACTCAGTCCTTGATGATCACACCTGCAATACTAGGCCATCTGGAAAATGTGTGCATGCATAGAGACTACTGGCCACCTCAAAAGGAAAAATTGGTGAGTCAAGGAAACTGCAAATGAATGAATGCAAATTCATTACTCACCCAAATGAATGTTTGATTAGGAGATATATATGTGTGGATTAATATCCAAGACATTTTTTTTTTAAGTCATGACATTTTTGTTTATTTTGTCACTAATACCACTAGAATGATGCACGTCCCCCAGTATTGGCCACCATTGGTCATTTTGGCTTTTCTCTAACTCATCTGTCTGCTTAAAACAGCATATTGTGTTTACAGATTAAGTTTGTTCTCTGTGGCACCCTTACTCTGTATATGTCATACTACAACACCAATTCCAAAAAAGTTGGGACGCTGTGTAAAATGTAAATAAATGTGAATAAAAACAGAATGCAAAGATTTGCAAATCTCATAGAGCCATATTTTATTCACAATAGAACATAAACCTCATATCAGTGTGTTGAAAATGTTGAAACTGAGACATTTTACCATTTCATGAAAAATATTAACTCATTTAGAACTTGGCAGCAATACATCTCAAAAAAGTTGGGTAAAAAAAGCTGAAAAAGTAAGTGCTACTAATAAAAAAACAGTTGGAGGGACAATTTGCAACTACATAATTCATAACTCACATAATTCGGCATAAAAAGAGCAATTTAGAGAGGCAGAGTCTCTCAGAAGCAAAGTTGGGCAGAGGTTCACCAGTCTGAGAAAAACTATTTCAGATGTTCCTCAATGTAAAATTGTGAATACTTTGGACATCCCACCCTCTGCTATACATAATATCTTCAAAAGATTCAGAGAATCTGGAGCAATCCCTGTACGCAAGGGACAAGGCTGACGGTCAATATTGGGTGCTCACGTTCTTTGGGCCCTCAGGCACCAGTGCAGAAGCAAAATGGAAAACTGTTCTGTGGTCAGATGAATCAAAATTTGAAATTCTTTTTGGAAACCACAGACGCCGTGTCCTGTGGACTCAAGAGGAGAGGGACCACACAGCTTGTTATCAGTGCACAGTTCAAAAGCCTGCATCTCTGATGGTATGGGGTTGCATTAGTGCCTATGGCATGGGCAGCTTACACATCTGGAATGGCACTATCAATGCTGAACAGTATATAGAGGTTTTAGAACAATATATGCTCCCATCCAGACAACGTCTCTTTCAGGGAAGGCTTTGCATATTTCAGTAAGACAATGCTAAACCACATATTGCATCCTTCACAACAGCATAGTATTGAAAAAGAAGTGCTGAACTGGCCTGTCTGCAGTCCAGACCTTTCACCAGTAGAAAACATTTAGTGCATCATGAAATGAAAAATCTGGCAAAGAAGACCCAGGAACTGTTGAGCAGCTAAAAGCCAACATCAGACAAGAGTGGGACAACATTCCTCTCCCAAAACTCTAGCAGATGGTCTCCTCACTTCCCAGATGTTTACAGACTGTTGTTAAAAGAAGAGGGGATGCTACACAATGGTGGACATGGCCCTGTCCCAATTTTTTGAGATGCGTTGTTGCTATCAAATTCTTAATGAGTTAATGTTTTTCATGAAATGGTAGAATGTCTCACTTTCAACATCAGATATGTGTTCTGTGTTCTATTGTGAATAAAATACATGATTTGCAAATCATTGCATTCTGTTCTCATTTACATTTGTTTACATTTTACACAGCGATCCAACTTTTTGAGAACTGGGGTTGTAGTTACTATAGCAGCTGCTTTCCTGTAAAACTTTGAGATAAATGTTCATTGTGAAATGGAAATATTGTTGTGTGTTCCTGCAGTTTAATACCCAAAGAATTACAACATTATTAGCAAATACTTACATATACAAATACTTAATATACTTAATATATATAATAATACTTAATAGCAAATACTTAAATATTGCTTTATCAAAGAATTCTTACTATTAGAAAATGTTACCAGCATTAAAAGTACCAAAAGGATATTTTAAACAGCCTAAATTACTTTATTAGGGGGCAAATAGCAATATTAAGCTGTTTCAGTACAATGGTCTTAAAGTAAGGCTGAATTAACCTTAACAACACAATAAAACACTTACAATAAGTAACAGTAAGTTACTATTTTATACTAATGATATGCTAATGCATGGTAGAAGCACTCAATGTATAGTACAAGTTGTTGGAACACCTGCTATGCTTCCAAATTTTAGTTTCAGGTGTCAATTTGTGCCAAATCAAAAAGTTATCTTTGTGTCCTGATTGTGTTATTGCCCATGATAACTCATCCAGACATCAGCATACACATTGTAAGAGATATATTTATCTCATTGTATTTTCACTCTCATTCCTTATTTCACTCATTCTATTTTTATTGTCTTTGTTCCTTATTTAAATGTCTATTTTCTTTGGAATATTTGTTAATAGTCTGTTTATCTAATCGGTTTATTTTTTTACTTGACATACATACATGTGGAACATACTTGGCAAAACAAAGTGATTCTGGATTTGAAAAACAAGTAGAGGATGAATGTTCTGTCAGAGCTACAGTGCTTTAACAAGTTTCCGAATTCTTTCAGACATAATAACGATTATTGTGTATTTAGTCTGTGGTTACCTGTTCTCAATGATGTAAGATGTCATGTGTCTGGACTTCAGTGGGAGATCAATTATTGGAAAGTGTGAAAGGACTTTAACACATCCATGTTGAATAATCAATCAATAGATGTATTTTTAAATGTTTTATTTAGGAAAATATTATTTTGCACAAAACTCTAATATAAACTTATATTCATCAGACCAGTAAAGAGGGACTTTTAATTCTTTGACATTGAAGTTCACATCCCTGTTTAAATTGTACTATTCTTATTATTTCTCTGCAGACTGGCATCCTGTAATCTTAATGGCAGAGCTTGTGAAACTCTTAGCTCTATTCTACATTTAGCAAACTACTCTCTGAAGGAGCTGGACCTCAGTAGCAATGACCTCAAGGATTCAGGAGTGGAGCTGCTCTCAGCAGGACTGAAGATTTCACACTGTACACTGGAAATACTCAGGTGACAATAAATTAATTAAAAAAATAAAGCAATTAATTACCATTTATTGCATTTTTAGTTAATCAACAGTAATGACATTTGCCAAATTTTACATTTACAACAGTGCATTTTTCATATAGTTAAAATAAACTTAAAATGTATGTATTTATTACTTTAAGTTACATTAAATTACAGTAACATTATTGTCATCATGTGACCACAGGATTCAAATGAACCTGAACATGAATTTCACAAAGGGTGAATGTGAAAATAGGCTGATTGGAATTTCCAATGTTCATTATCTGGTGAGAGCAACACTGGCTCTGTGTTCCTACTGATCTATAATTGTAGCCCTCTCGCTCTTGATCTTGTTCATACAGCTTATGGATTCTTGTTAATGTGGAGGCATATTGAGTTAATTTTGTGCCAAAAGTTTCAAATAAAATAATAAAATCCACAAGCAAAGTATTGAGTATCAAAATGTCTGAAATACATTCCAAGCACAAATAATGAGAGTTGAGTCAAACTTAGTTTTTTAAAAAGATTACTACTCATTTTCTCTCTTTTTCATATAAATTTACAAGTCTTTTTGCCAGATTTGTTTTAGTTTCCTATTTGCTGGTTTTGCTTATATATTTTTTGCTTCTGGAATCACTCTTTCATGTCTGAAATCTTTGTATTGCTTCTGACTTTGACACTTTTTAACAGGAGGTGGGTCTTAGAAGAGGGTGCTCACCTGCACTTTCTATTTGTCAACTGATTTGGAGTGACATGTTTTCAAAATACGTAGCCACACCCACTCTTAGATCTGTGATCTGCATTGAACATGCACTGCAGGAGTACTGCAATAGAGGATTGTGCTGACATGTCCACCATTAATGAGCAATGTTTGTCATGTATAGAGTATAATACATGCTCAGTATCTTGTGTGGAGCTGTGTAATTATATATATATATATATATATATATATATATATATATATATATATATATATGTATATATATATATATATATATCTGTTGAATGAAGCTGTACCATCTATTAAGATTAGAGCTGCTAGTGTGAACTAGTCTAGCAGTGTCCACTAAAGAGCTAACTATATCTGCACTCAAAAGGACCAGTTATTATATCAAACAGGATTACTCTGAATCTGAGGAAAGAATGATTGCCCCAACTTCAAGAAGCCTGTCAACAGGGATAAACTGCCTACTTTGCATACAATTTGCAGCATCTTACAGCCTCCAAAGCACCAAACAGGTGCTTCACAGGTTTGCCTGTCCCAATCAGCTCAAGGCCTACTAGCTTTGGCTACTGCAGAGTAAGCCTAAACCATCACTCACTGAATTGTAAATCATAGGCTCCCCCAACCCTAATGTGAACATTTGATAGTTAACCATAACATACTATTAGTTATGACCCCACAGGCAAGCTAGGGAACAATGGGACTGTGTTTAGATTTAAAGTATTAATACGGTAATATGTGAAATATTTCCCAGAATGCCTTTAAAATCTACAGGAACATTATGTAGACAATTACAGTAAAAATACTGTAGAAACAATACAAATAAATTAGAGTGATTTAAAAAGTGAATGTTGTGCAGCAATGTTTATTTCACCGAATATTATTAGTAACTTGTCTTTATGCAAGTTATCAAAAATACATCTTCTTGTGTTATGTATGTGGATTACTGGTAGCAAATACATGAATATGATATAGGGGGATGCAGAGTGAAATGCTACTCCAGTCACAGCCAATTAGGGAGATTCTGAAGATCTGGATTGGACTGAAATGAAATATTACTCTCTCATAAAATGTATTTTTTTTTAAGTTTACCTCAGATAAGATTCAACTCAGAATTTTATATTGTTTTGAATTTGCACTGTGAGCAGCAAACCAATTAGTAGGTCATCTTTATAATTGTTTTTTACTTGACCCATGCTGTGCTGCTGTTCTTCTTTTAAACTTTAGATTTACATTTAAACTCTGTTGACAATCACATAGAAATGGGTTAGTGGCCTCATTATACACAAAATTAGTGAATGGTTAATTGTGTAATGAGTTTAGGTATATTTAAGGCAATAGGTTGATAGGCAATAGGCAATAGATTATATTGCTATTTATTGCTAATAAAATAAGTTCACACTATTGGCTGTGTGAATTTGTTATTTTATTTTTAATATTCCATGTTTGATGTCAAAATATTGATGTATACCTTAAAGACTTTGGTGCTTGCTGTGTTAGTTTTGTACCACAGCTAGTTTTTGCTGTATGTAACTTTTTCCTTTCTTTCTGCAGATTGTCTGGTTGTATGGTTACAGATGAAGGCTGTTCTTCCTTGGCATCGGCTCTGAAATCGAACCCCTCCCACTTGAGAGAACTGGATTTGAGCTATAATCACCCAGGAGAGTCTGGAGTGAAGCTGCTCTCTGATCTACTGGAGGATCCTCACTGCACACTGGAGAAACTACAGTGAGTTACTATCTTACTGACCTACTGTCTCTATACACAGACTAACTGTAATTATACACATTATAAACATTACTGACCAATGTTTGGTCAATGACTGTAAAAGACTATGGTGGTGAATTACTGTTATTCTGTAGTGTTGAAATAATAATAATAATAATAATAATAGTTGCTATAAAGTACTTTGTAATATGCATATTATTATTATTATTATTATTATTATTATTATTATTATTATAGTGCTTTAAACATTTTTGCTTCAGTAATTTAATCAAAAACACTGGTTGTATGTGTGGTACATATGAATGGTGATGACACAGCAAAAAGGTCACACCCACAAAGTAGAACTTTACCAGTTCACACATTGTCTTCAGCTTGATTAGATTTCAGCTTGATAATTTACAGCTACCTCGGTTCAATCAGATAAAGTTACTTCAGCTTAATCAATTAACATTACTTCAACTTAACTGCTACTTCATCTTGATTAGTTACTGCTAGGTCAGCCTGATTATTTACTGCTATTTCAGCTTGATCAGTTACCACTGCTTTGGCTTGATTAATTACCAGCATATCAGCTTGAGTCATTACCATTACTTCAGTTTGATTGGTTAGCACTACTTAAGCTTGATTATTAACCAATACTTTAACTTCATTAGATACTGCTACTTTAGCTTGATTAGTTATCACTACTTCAGCTTGATTTTGTGCTGCTATTTCAGCTTATTTACTGCTGCTACTTAAGCTTATTTACTGCTGCTTCAGCTTGATTATTTACTGCTGCCTCAGCTGATTAGTTAATGCTACTTCAACTTGATTATTTACCATTAATTCAGTTTGAATCGTTATCACTACAGCTTTATTAACATTACAAATTACAACTTACAAAAGCCAACTTGCTCCTCAGAGGCTGAAAATAATTAGTCTACAGACATTTCGACACAACAGCACTGTTGTCAACTTTTCTGATTGAGAAAAAAAACTAAAAGCAGATCCAACAGTGCACTGGTTTCAAGTGAGGATAAGAAAATTAGACACACTGATGTTAAAGTTTCTTAACTAAGCTAAAGTTAGATTATTGTTAATTATCAATGATGATGCATTAATGTTATCTGTTTGCTGTTTTACACTGATAATGCTAAGATTGTATTTGGACGAGTGGATAACTGCAGTGGATGCTAGAAGTTAATGTTACTGACCTCTAATAAAATGGCGTTGTGTTGCCTTGTGTCTCGGATGCAGCCAGATGACAAGACAGTCCAGTGTGTGTGTGTGTGTGTGTGTGTGTGTGTGTGTGTGTGTGTGTGTGTGTATGTGTGTGTGAGAGAGAGAGAGAGAGAGAGAGAGAGAGAGAGAGAGAGAGAGAGAGATAGGGGTGCAGCAGAGGAGGGGAGGGGGGCTGTCTAGTAGTGAGAAATGCTTTGCTGAAGTAAGGAGGTAAAACACAATGTTGTTTATGTTATTCAAGATTCAAGAGTTTTATTGTAATATGCACAGTAAAACAGGTGTTTTGCACTGTACAATTAAATTCTTACCTGCCTCATAATAATAATTATATTATGGGAAGAGTAAAGATATTTTCAGATCATTACAAAACTGGTGAGATAAATTACACTATAGTGGGCTGCTACAGTCTAGGTAATGAATGGGGAAACATTGATTATTATTATTATTATTATTTAATTGATAGTAGTAAAATGCAGGACAGCCTTTGTATGATCACTGGTCTAATAATTATAATAAAAATGATAAAAAATAGAACGATAACAATAACAGATTGTCTAATTGACAGTATGACTAAAAACAGTAAAGACAGTGTACAGTTTATAATAATTAGTCTAAAAATTCTTTTATTTATATTCTTTTTTTCATTCATTTTTGTGTGGTATGTATAATATAATGTGCAATTGAGACTTAATGTTTATTTTCTTATATTTTTGTTTACAAAAAATATGCTTAGTTGCAGTAGTGTTCTTTATTGGATACACAGAGTTTTTTACTATTTTAACCATGAACAAAAATTCTTATACAGTTGTAGAAATGTACTGCTTAGTAATGTGTTTAGTGTTGTGCTATATGTCATTATATTCAGTATTTTGTGTTGCCTTTATTGTGACTGTACTTAGAACATTCTTCTGTCTATTCTTGTTTATCCCTACATGGCCACGTCTGTGACACCTGTCACTTGTCACTTGGGCCTAATCTTGACATCAGTCCAGCTATAAAGCTGCATCAGCCGAAAGTCTTATCGGCTGGTTGGGTGTCTGGTACCTGCGCGCAAACAAATAAACTTCACTTCTCCAGACATACGGCTGGTCCCCTGGTACAGTTAGGGGATTCTTCACAGTAAAGGCACATTTAGGCTGTTTACTGGTGTTCAGTGTTTCTGACCTGGTTATATTTACATATAGAGCATAAGTGTAATATCAGAAGAAGCATAATACATTCAAGCAGTATGTATGATTCATAACATACCCTTATATTTATTATCCATGACATCTGATCAGCTGAAAAAAGCCAGAATTGGGCATACTTTATATATAATGATTTGAATTTCACTCAATGAACATTTCACTCACTGAGCTGCACTAAATCTAATTAAACAGCACTAATTCTGTTCTTTATAATCAGTCATGCAGTTTGGATGTTTCTTCAGTACAGATAATTTATACCACATGCTCAGAAAATTTTGAGACATAATTATCATGATAATGAAAAATATCTTATTGCCCAGCCCTGTTTACACAGAGAGAGGGAGAGAGAGAGGTGTGGTGAACGCAGAAACAGATGAGAAATGTGTTCTGAGTGATTTAATTTCTGAATGTAATATATAATATTCAGAATAATTATATAAGTGTGTGTGTGTGTGTATGTGTTTGTTCTTCAGGGTGGATCATGGAGGGAAGATCAGGATGAAACCAGGAGTGAAGAAATGTAAGATACACACACACATACACACACACATATACACACACACACACACACACATATACACACACACACACACACACACACACACACACAAACAAACACACACACACACACACACATACTCTCTCTCTCTCTGTTGAACACTGTTTGTGTAAACATCTATGTGTGTGTGTGTGTGTGTGTGTGTACACAGATGCTGTTGATCTCACTCTGGATCCAAACACAGTGAACAGCCGTCTCTCTCTGTCTGAGGGGAACAGAAAGGTGGAGCGTTTGGGAGAAGATCAGTCATATTCAGATCATTCAGACAGTCTTGATGAGTGTGATGAGGTTCTGAGTGTGGAGAGACTGACTGGACGCTGTTACTGGGAGGTTCAGTGGAGCAGAGAGGCTGATATATCAGTGTCATACAGAGGAATCAGGAGGAAAGAAGGCAGTGATGAATGTGAGTTTAGACACAATAATCAGTCCTGGAGTCTGTGGTGCTCTGATGGAATTGGATACTCTGTCTTTTATAATAATGTGGTAACTTTCCTACCTGCCCCCGCCTCCCTCTCTAACAGAGTAGGAGTGTATCTGGACTGGGGGTCCGGCACTCTGTCTTTCTACACCATCTCCCCTGACACACACACACTGACCCACCTACACACACTCTACACCACATTCACTGAACCGCTCTACGCTGGATTTTGTGTTGATTTTGACTATATTTATGACTCCTCAGTGCGTCTATGTGAGATAGAATAACCTCTAAAGTGTGTGTGTGTGTGTGTGTGTGTGTGTGTGTGTACTGTGAGTTAAGGCAGGTTTACACTGCATCATTTCTGTCACGATAATGGCACTGCAGAAAAGAAAGAGAGAGACAGATGCAGGGCCTGTCTCTGTGTGTCTCATCTGTCCACTGCTCTGTTAAGCCCTCCTCCCAGTGTCTGCTACGTGCACTCTACTCCTCGTCCAGCGCAGGAACTCCAGTCCGTAAACTCTTAACACTCTCTGAAAAATCGCTTTCAAAACCCATTTTTGTAGAAGTCTGTTACAGAAGACATGAGCCTGTTTCCCTCAAGATCACTTTGGAGAACAGACATTCTATGGTGTCCTTTAAATCAGCCTTGAACAGCTCCAAACTCTCCTTCTGCACTGTGTAATGCATGTTTTTCAGATTAAAAAACTGATCCTCAGTACTAAAAGGAAGGATGATATATGAGATGCTTGGCTCTTTTGTTTTGCACACCAAACCAGAGGCCATATTACAGAAACATTTTAACTCTAAAATTTGATCTTTTTAGTCTCCATGACGATTTCAGTACGGACTGAATTTAGAACAGTAGCTATTACAGAATAACAGTTCCTAAATTCATAATCTCATCATCAACTCCAGATAAGAAAACAGTATCACACAAAAATCCTAACTAGACTAAACCTCCTAAATCCTGTCCTAACTTTAGGATAAACTCTAACAGGATCCTCACTTCTGTTTCAGTGTCCATTTCTATAGTTTTTAGGCAGCTGTGTCAGGCAGCATAGTTCACTACTAATGACACTACATTTATTTATGCTGTAAAACAGTAGTTTCACTTTTAAAGTTCTTTTCTAACTCATGTTTTAAATGATGATCCAAGATAATCTAAAATTTAGACTCTCTGAAAATGAAGCTTGCAAATATTTTGTGCCACGTCTGAGTGTAAAGTTTACAGTAAAGCACAAGTGAGGAGTGTCGGTGGCCATCATTTACCAAGAGGCGTCAAACTTTACTGGGTTTACAGGCAGTTCAAAACCCAAACATGTCAAAGCACAGAATCAGATATTTACACTTATTTAGAACCTGCTTCATCTGTGTCATTGTTAAAGTCTAAATGTAACACACATTTTTATGTATGTATGTATGTATGTGTGCATTAGTGCAGTGGACAGCAGTAATGGATGGAAATGTCTGTTGCATAACATTTTGTACAGCATTTTGATCAACATGTTTAAAATGTGCTTAATAGATAAAAGAATTTATGTAAACACAATTTCTGTGTCTTTTGTGTCTTTTTTTAATACTACTACTACTAATAATAATAATGATAATAATAATAATAATAATAATAATAATAAGTTACATTTATATAGCGCCTTTTACAAACCCAAAGACGCTTTAGCGAATGGAGAGGGGCAAAAAAACAACTACCACTTTGAAGAAGAAGAGTAGTGAGCAGTGAAAAGGAGGGTTTAAGGTGAACTTTAAATGAATTGAGGGTAGCGCAGTCACGATGAGATTGAAGTAGAGAGTTCCAAAGTTTGGGAGCAGTAACCCTGAAAGACCTGCCGCCCACTGTTGAGAGTCTTGTGCGTGGGACAGCGAGGAGTCCAGTGCCAGAAGATCTGAGGAAGCGAGAGGGACAGTACGGATGAAGGAGTTCACTGAGATAAATGGGGGCGAGACCATGAAGAGCTTTGAAGGTTAGAAGAAATTTATACTTGATACAGGAGAATATTGGTAACCAGTGAAGCTGATAGAGGATGGGAGTGATGTGTAAAGTGAGCTTGGTAAAAGTGAGACTCTGGCTACTGAATTCTGAATGAATTGAACCTGGTTAAACAAGTTAGCAGGGAGACCATTGAAGAGGGAGTTGCAATAATCCATGCTGCAGAAAAAAATAAGGCATTGACCAGCATTTTGGTGTCAACATTGTTGAGCAGAGGGCATTTTAGGGGCCAACTAACAAGGTTTCAGTTTTGTCTGCATTTAGTTTTAAGAAATAACTGGCCAGCCAGTGTTTTAAATCTGTGTTGCATGTACTTAATAACTGAGCTGAGACTGTGGGGGATGCAGTGCATATGTAGATCTAGATATCATCAGTGTAACTGTGGAATTTAAACCCATGATTACGAATGATCTGACCTAGTGGTGAGATGTATAATATGAAAAGCAAGGATCCAAGGACAAAGCCTTGGGGCACTCCCTGAGCACCTGGAGCAGTGGATGATTTTTGTGAACCAATAGAGAGAAACTGTTGCCTGTTAGTAAGATAGGATTGGAACCAAGCAAAAGCTAAGCCTGAAATGCCTATGGATGAAAGCCTGGAAATAAGCATATCCTGATTCACAGTGTCAAAGGCTGCAGTTAGGTCAAGGAGGATAAGGATATTAAGAAAACCAGCATCAACAGACATTAAAAGATCATCAACCACTGTTAATAGGGCAGTCTCAGTCCTGTGCAAGTTGCAAAGAACAGATTGGAAAAGCTCATATAGATTATTTCTGCTGAGAAAATAATCACTTTCTATGGAATTTGCAATCAGGGCTGAATTTAGTGATTCTGGGGCAAAAGGCTAATAAATATTAGAGGAATTTTGATGCTTGTAATTTCTGATGTTAATGAGAAAGAGGTCAGTATGTGAGAAAGAGTTGTGAAGTGGAGAAAAGTATAAATATTCTATTTTGAGTGGCTTTTTATAACTGCTAGTTGTCATTGAGGCCAAAGTCATTCATATACTGTTGGAATATTTCTGTTAATTACCAGATTCTTGCATTGCCAGAGATATTTGAACTTCTAGTGTTGGTTGGATTACTGTATCAAAATCACCTCAAATTATGATTTTTGAACTGCCACAGTCATTGAGATGACTGAAAAATGTATGCAAAAAGGACAGATCTTCAGTATTGGGGCCCCAGATTCTTGCAGTAGTCATGCCCAGATTATTGATGCTAACATTTATAACAATGTATCTATCATTTTGGTCTGCAGATATGGTAAGTAAATATATTCTTTTATGAATTAATATAGAGGCGCCTCTTTGTCTGGAGTTTTATGTGGATGAAAACATTTGCTTAACCCCTTAAAATCTCAGACTTATAACCAAACCAAACTGCATAAATAGTAGTTTTTTAGTTCATTAAGTGCAGGCTTTGTTAAATTAACTATATTATGGATTTACACTATTGTATATTTGTATTTTTAGTTATACAAACTGTAGTCACACTGATTTATGTCTAGAACTCTTTGTTGTGAGATATTTTCAACTTTTACATTCATACTGATACTGTTGTGTCTTCTTGAGTGCATCATTTATTTAATTTGACAAGTACTATTAGACTGGACATTTTCACTTCCTTCAGCTAATAAAGTTGTAGATTATGTTTTGTGTGTATGTTTAGAATTAATGATATTTTGAAAGATACTGTGTCTTTTCAAGGCAACACTCTTCTATCAGCTCATGAAAAGTAAATAAATCTTATTATTTGCTGCAGTGAAATCTCTGCTGCAGAAACAAGATCTTGATCCCTCTGTTTTCTTGAACCTTTGGTTGATCTCCAAATAACCTTTCTTATCTACAGTTTTACACAAGGTTATTGCCAGCCTGTTGTACTTTTTTGGAATCCGGGATGGTATGCAGAGTTTTTAGATCTTGATATCATATATAACAGTACAGAAACTGCACTGTTTAAGGTGGTAAATGATCTTTTATTGAGTGCAGCTTTTGATACTGTTAATCACGCTCTTTTTTTGCAGCACACGCAGATCATAGGGATTTCAGTCATTGTACTATACTGGTTCAATTCCTGTTTGAACTGGGCTTAAAGAATGTGCAACCTTGGGGGAGCTCCTCCCCCTTTAGTGTTATTCGTTCAAGACAGACTTGAAAAGCTTGAATTAACAGTATTGCTGTAAATGGTCACCTGATATCGCTGTCATATAGCATGAAGAATTTTGGGATTAAAATGGACCTACATTGTCAACTGATTCTCATATGCTATATATATTCTATAAAGTAACATAGTGTTTGTAAAACGTTTTTTTTGTATAAATATTGTGAGATTCAGGACCTTTTTGACGCAATGTGATGCTGAGAAGCTGATTAATGTGTTTGTGACCTTGCTGTGAGATCATTGTGTGCTGGTCTTCCATTTAAGAGCTGCGTGTTCAGAATTTTACTGCATCTATTCTAAACAGCACAGTTTTGCGTATCACTTCAGAATTTAGAGTCTGTGCACTGGCTGCCTTTTAGAGAAAGTTTGATTCATTTTAAAATTTGACCTTTGTTTAAAAATGTTTATGTTTCCAGGCTTCAGTATAATTGCAGGATCTCTTACTTCCTCAAAATACATGTTAAGTTTACACTGAGATCTGGGGCCATATTACAGAAAATGCTTAAGTCTGAGATCTTATCTGCTTTGTTGCCATGGCAACTTCAGTTAAGACAGAGGTTGGGACAGAAGCCATTAGAGCCATTAATCTTGTCTTATTTTCAGATATGAAAACGGTATTACAGAAACATCCAAAGTTGCCAAAATAACCTTAAAACAACTCCAGAGATTATTAAATAAATAAATAAATAAATCAAAGAAAGAAAACATTAAAGCGTAGAGAAAATTAGGATTAAATTACTAGAGGGTGGTGTCTGGTGATGCTCTGACAGGCTCTCCGCCTCCAGGTCTGACAGCTGTATTGTTGTCACGTTGCTATTACAAACTTACTGCTAGGACTCCAGTCCCACCTCAGAACCGCCAGGAATGCCTGCATTAATAACGATAACATCTGTAGTAGCTATAGTACTAACAAAAGTAATCCCAGGTCAAATTAAAGGGAAAAAGGAAACCCTGATTTTTACCTTCGTAGTGTATTTTTCTGATAATGCCCAAAACCCTTGTCCAAAGGGCTTAGCATAGGAGCGTCACCAGTCCCACCACCCCATGTTACTTGCTTGTACAGCAGATTTTTTTTCTTTTTCGTTTCACTGGTGAGGTTGATAGATTTTTTAGGTAACACTTTATTTGGACCACTGTAGATGCTTTGTAGATACTCTATTTCTAACTAACATTCAACTAAGTATCTATTAAATGCAAGTGAACTTGAAGTTGTGGATGAAAGATTCTATTAAATCTAACCCTAAAGCTCACACGAACCCTAACCTCAAGGAAAAACCTACACCTCTTCCTCAACCTAAACATAACCTTAATGTTGTTGATAATCAACTGAGTACCACTAGAAAATTTGTGAGTATAAATCTGTAGATCACCTACAGTGGACCGTCCAAAAAAACTGTAGTTCTGTAGTTCAATAAATTCCGCTATTTTTGCCCGTTCCCTGTCCTTGTCATGATGTGTTTATGTGGACGAAGATTTTCCGAATAAAATATGTTAAATAAAAACTTTTTCAACCAATATTAAAAGAACTTTCATAACTTCATCGAATTTGAAGTATAAAGCTCTTCTGTTTATCCATTTTACAGAAGTAATTTTATAGAAGTATACAGTATCTCCAATTAACTGTAGATATTCTACAGTTACTATATTATCGTTGTTTTGGCTCCAACAGCTCTGCATATGGTCGGTTGCTGGGTAACAGACA